GTTCCAGAGAAGCTTATATAGGGATCCTTAAGTGATAGCCATGCCCCAGCTCTTGGAATTTTCAGCTGTAAACCCCACCAGGAACCACTCCCCTGCCATTGGGAACTCATGAGGGTCTCATGCTCAGAGCAGATGCAGGCATAGGTAAACAAGTTGTTTCATTCCAGCAGGCAAAGGATCTGAGTCAGGCAAAGAAGGTCAGGGGGCCAGATGTCTGCAGCCCCAGCAAACATCAAGAACTGAGATCAAAGAGCTGAAAGGACGGAGAGAATACGATCAGAATGGCATAGTAAGAGGCCCTCGGGAAAACTGAAAACTTTAATAACATAACAAATACTGAAGAAGTAGAATTTATAAACAATCCCTGGAATAAATTTGAATCTGTGTCATAAGAGGGAACTGGTTTTGCTGACTATGGCCAGCCAGAGTGACTGGAATCAGCAGAATTTCAGTGACTATTACATCATAAGGAAGGCAGGGAAATGCTTTGTGCAGTCAGGCAAAAAAAAATGAAGTAAATTGTCAGGGAAAGAAACCCATTTACAACTGGCCTCCTGACATTTATGCTAAGGGAAGAAAATGTAAATATGGCATTTTATTCCCGAAAAACCGATTTGCAACTATAAAGGCCTCCAACAGTCTTATTAACACAGTCAAAATACAGTTTCCACAAGTAACTCTGAAGGAATTTTCCCTAGGACAGGATTCAGGCCACCAAGATGACAAGTGGGAAGCTAATACAGAGCCCATGGACATCAGCAAAACACGCTGACTTACAAACTGAGATTAAAGTACAGCCTGAGTCCTAGGAAGGTTTACTATCACTGTTTTGTTAAAAGGCCCTGTTGTCAAATTACCTCCTGAATAGTCATGTTTGTACCTATAGACCTGAGCTGCTCTCAGCCTTCATTAGAGAAGCTTCTTTTTGCAGAGGGCAATAGTCAGTACTAAGATACAGAACTGATCATAGCACTGAGAAATAAGTGACTATGAACGGTCAGTCTAAATGGGACATCTGGTCAACCTCTGTGCCAAAGCTCATGGAACGCTGAAGGAGATGGAAAGATTGTGAGAGCTGGAGGATACAGAGGGCTGCTGTGGAATGCTGTCATCATGATATGGCCATTGTACTCTCGGGTGCACAGTTGCTATGGTGACCGGTGCAAGATCAAGTCAGCTAAAACTATAGTATGCATGGAAGAGAATCTTGTGATTTTCTAGCTTAACTGAAGAGGTATGGGTAGTCAGTGGAGAACCATTTTGGGGTGTATGGCCACTGAAAGATTGCTCCAGTGAATGGACCCACACTCACTAACACTAATTGGACTGAACTATTTTTTTTTATAATTTTAAAAAATGTTATTTTATGTATATGGATGTTTTGCCTGCATGTATATCTGTGTACCACTTGTGTGTCTTGGTGCCCTCAAAAGCCAGAAAAGGGAAGAATGCCTGGAACTGAAGTTATAGACAGTTGTAAGATGCCCTATGGGAATGGGAAACAAACCTGGGTCCTATGGTGCAGCCAATTCTGAACCAGTTCTCTAGCCCCTTAGCAGGTTATTTAGTAAAAAGAGAGGACATCAAGATGGAAAAATTATGTGGGGCTGGGAAAGTAGGAAGAGGATGACATGATGGGCTAGGGAAAATGATATAATATTTACATGATTCCTGACAACAAAGATACAGTGGATTTATAACAAAAGAAGAAAGAGTATGATGTACAAAGCTATTATTGCTGTTTATGTCATATTGCCATTTTATCTTGACTGTTATGTGCATAAAGTATGGGATAATACAATGAGTAATGATGTCATATTTTGACTTCCTGTCAAGGAGCAACAGAATTCTCAGTAAGGAGAAAAGAAAATACAAATGAAAGCGGAAGGCATGAAGTAAAAACCCCATTGCGCCTGAATGAGGAATAATAGAATGAACTAATATATGGGATCTTTACATATGAGCTTATTTTGTATTTATATAAATGCATGTTTGGATGTACATGTATGCACAGAAATGTTTATTCTAGCAATGCTCATAGAAAGGGCCTAGAACAGAAGGCAAATCCAGTAGCAATATTGAACCTAGGCATCCAAACTGCTGTCCTGACATGTATTTCCCCATCCCTGGGACACTGGGATGCTGAGCTTGTTGAAGAAAATTCTAAGGTCCAAAAGGTAAGTGTAAAGAAGCCTGGCTCAGTCTGTTATGCCAGATAACAAATGCGACAGGTTTTGAAAGATAGTATCTTCTAATTCACACAACCCTTCTACAGAGGAGGCCAGCCGTTGCCACACATCATATCAGGAGTGTTCATTTCTTAGCCCCTTACATCTGGGAGAGCGCTGTGATTGCTTTGGGGAGTGTAGACTCAGCCATTAGGCCAGGTCTAGCGGCACTTGACAGGCCCTGAGGCTTTAACATGCTTGCTTCTCTGTTTCTTCCCAGAACCCAGCTCATGGAAAGTGTGTATATCTAGTTCAGTGTCGGGCACAGGTGAGCTCCTAGCCAACAGACAGAATCCTCTGCCAGTTAAACCAGTAAGTAATCATCTAACCAACCTGAGCCTTGAGATCACTATGGTCTCAACTAGCAATTGACTGCAAAGGATCAAGCACATTGTGGCAAGTAAAACGACTCCAGAGATCCCGTCTCCTAAGCCCAGAATCTGGGACTGGATTACACAGTAAATAACATCAATATTACCAATCATTTGGCCTCAAAGAAGGGAGATTGTCCTCACTAGCATGAGTTCATAATCATTGCAGGACTCTTTACTAGTGGAAAAGAAAAAGGTAGAAGAGGAGGATAAAATATGGAACATGGGAAAAGCTATACCTGTCACCTGTGGTGTGAAGAAAAATGAAGGGGACCTCAAGCCAAGAATGACGGACAGGTTCTAGAAGCTCTAATCGACAGACTCTGTGCTCGAGCCCCCAAGAGTAGCATTACTCTGCTCACAGTTTGATTTTTAGATTACAGATCCAATTCTGATTTCAGATATCCAAAACTATGATAAGACTGGACTTCCAGAGCCTTTAACTTCATGGTAATCTGCTACAGATGTGATAAGGGATTAATGCAGACTCTGGAGTCTGTAACAGATCAAACCGATGGGGTGATGAAAGATGAAAACCAACTAGTTTTGAGCACGGGTTTCTGTCCAGAGCACTAGAAACTGGAACAGCACAAGACACCGAATCTACCAGATTGTTTAGTCAGGCTTACTGAACCACTGCTCGAGAAGGGGATAAATGGAATATGAGAATGACTCTTCAATAGATATAAGACCAGACATTAAAATCTATGACCAGAAAGATACAATAAAATCAATCACCTTTGGAGGCTATCAGAAAACGAATTCATTATTTAAAAGAAAAATGTTAGGAGGCAAACAAACAATTTGGCTTCTTCTCTTATACTACTAAATACCAGGAGAAGAAAAAGGGTTACTTTCAGGTTCTGAGCAATAAAGGAAGAAGGCCTGCTTATATTGGATGGTGTGTCCCACTGAGCTTTATGTTGCTGTGACCAAAAACAACATGGGAAGGAGAGGGTGTATTTCATCTTACAGGTGATAGTCCATCATCCAGGAACTCAAGGTAGGAGCTTGGAGCAGAAACCACAGAGGAATGATGCTTACTGGCTTGCTCCCTCTTCTTGGTTACCTTTCTCACACAGACCAGGCCCACACCTTGTCCACAGTGGGCAAGAGCCCTTCTGCATCAACTAGCAATCCATAAAATGCTCCACAGACATACATGTCAATCGGATGGAGGCCATTTCTCAGTCTGAAGTTCCTTCTTCCCCTGGTGCAATCATAGAATATCCCCATATGTAGAGCTGGATAGAGATGAGGGAGCTGGCAAAAGAAGGTGAGATGCAGCCAAAGTGGCAGGATGTAAAACAGGAGGAGTAACAGAAACCAGAAGAACCTGTTTCAAGGCGGGGCTGCTGTGCCCTGGACCAGTAGCTGCTACCATATCAGGGAGACAAAGATTAAAGCCCATCAGGTGCCAGCACGGAGCTCATTGTTGATCTTGCTAAGAACAGTGCCAGAAGAGGACAAGGCTGGACCTGAGTGAGCAAACCAGCAGTGGGAAGACAGGAGAAGCATTGAATGTTTACAGGCAACTCTCTAAAGATGCTCCTGGAGGAGAAGCAAGAAATAGCTGGCTAATTAGAAGACAACATGGGGCTGACAGCCATTTGCTCCAACACTGGACTTTATTCCACCATATTTGGAGATTCAAGAAAGGCTTAAAGATGAACGAAAGGAAATGAGCTGCAATTCTTGTAGTGTTGAGAAGGAAGGAAATCCAAAACTCACATGAGAGCAACTCCCTCCACAAGAGGAAAAGGGGAGCCTAGACTGTGGGTTCATGGGGGGGAGGGCCTTCCTACAAGACAGAAGACACAGTCTTCCTCCAGGTGGAGACAGCCCACTGCCCTCAAAGATGGAGATGAATCAGATGGGGCAATTTAGTAGCAATAGATTCCTTCCTTTCCTTTTCTTTTTTCTTTCTTTCAAAATTTATTTATTTTAAATTTTGTGTGTGTGTGTGTGTGTGTGCGCACACGCACACACACACACATACACACACACACAAGTGTGGCTATATGTGGGTACATGCATGCATTCATGCACAAATTTGAGTATAGATGCCTACAGAGGTCAACAGCTCTCCTGGAGCTGGAGTCACAGATGGTTGTGAGCTGACGGCATGGGTGCTGGGAACCAAAATAGGGTCCTCTACAAGAGCAGTGCATACTATTAACTGCTGAGCCATCTCTTCAGCAGTTTCAATTAAATTTGAAACACTACCAACAAATACATTTTTGTTAAGTTAAAACCCAACACATAACACACACACGTACAAGTGCCCATGAATATAATGCTTGGTGTTTGGGGGTACATACTTCTTTTTTTCTTTTTCAAGCCATTTAGGACAAAACCCAAAGCACAAGAATCAGAATGTCACAGGGCACTGGAGTGGGAAGCAAGAACATGTCAAGAGAAGCAAGACTCCCAACAAGGGAGAGGTCTTCTTACCTCAGAAATGTATGCAGACTGGGTCTATTATACCAGATCTCAACTGAAAAGACCATTCTTGATGCACATGTACATTAACAAATTATGTTTTTAATTATTTGCTTTTTATGTTCCTTTTTATTTTCCTGGAATTTGTCACATAACAGTATGCAAATTACATACATGGTCCTGAGAAGCTCAGAAACATTCTGCAGTCACATTTGGTTAAGCAATATGACACCTTCAGGAACTTGTGGGGCTTCAATCCTTCCTGTCTCCCTAATCACCCAAGACAATCCTCACCTTGATTTTTATTTTCTTGCTTTTCTTTATTGCTTTGCCTCCCGTGTATCCATAAGCATTACAGATCATCTTAGCAAGTTTTTGTTCTTTTAGATAAATGAAATATGACACTTCATTCCTTTTGGTAAATATAATGCACATATCGATAAAATTCCCCCATTTCCTTTGTGATATGTAATTTCATAAACAAATATACCATAATTTTTATATCTGTCCAGTTTGGAACTGATGAAATTTTGTTTGTTTTCTTTTCTGAACCCCAGTGTCTGCCACCCCACACTGATGTAGGGGCTTCTCAATTGCATATATCTAGGGGGAGAGTTGCTGAGTCAAAGGTTAGAAAAACCACTATCTCAGCAGGCAAGGGTGCCCTTTGTCATTTTAAAGATACAGAAATAAGTTCAGAAAGATGAAATAATATACATTTATCAGTTGCCTTCAAATAGAGATATCAAATTAGTGCAATGAGTGCTGTGGAATTCCCCTCTGTTTGCTGTGAATATGTTTTATTACCATTGGTTAATAAAGAAGCTGCCTTGGCCTATGGCAGGGCAGAATATGGCTAGGTGAGAAATTCAAGCAGAGATACAGAGAGAAAGAAGGTGGAGTCGGGGAGATGCCAGTAGTTACTGGAGGAGTAAGATGCCCCAGTATTACCGGTAAGCATGGCGATACATGGATTAGTAGAAATGAATGAATTCATATGTAGAGCTAGGCAGTAAGAATCCTGAGCCATCAGCCACACAATTATAATTAGTATTAATATTAAGCCTCCAAATGATTATTCTGTAAGCAGCTGGGGTGCCGGTGTGTGGGAGAGAAACTGGTCCAGCAGGACGGGGAGGGAAAGAGAGAAGTCTCCAGCTACAAGTGAGTCCTGACCATTTTTAAGTAAAGTGAAAGAAGATAGTCTGAAATCTAGATGATAAAAGTGCTTATTATTTTAGTGTTAGCACACTAACCCGTGCTTCCTATTTCCTCTTCTTTCCTTTCTCCGACCGTGTCTGATACACTTCTGTATACATGAGACTGCCCTTGAACCCCTAATCCTCTGCTTTCACCTCCCAAGTGCTCCTATTACAGATGTGCCCACCACACAGCTGGTTCTGCCCCTTTGGCTTTGTACCATGCAGCCTAGGCTGGCTCCACCCATATATAGCTGAGGGCAACCTGGAATTCCTGACCCTGCTATGTCCCCTTTCCAAACGCTGGGATGACAGCCTGTGCCACCACGCACAGTCTTCCCATTTCCCTGCGGCTGCTACCTCCATTGACAATGCTGACTGTCTGGTGGCTGGACTTCACTGGGGGCTGGTCCTTCACTGGGGGGCTGAATAAGCATTTTTTTTTCAGTCTTCTTGTGTGTTTATTCATCATTTAGATTTCAGATCGTTTTCTTTCATTTTACTTAAAAACGGTCAGGACTCACTACATTAGTGTAATGTCTCTGCTTAAAGACAACTGACAAATGTATATTATCTCATCCTCTTGAACTTGTTTTTAGATCTTTAAAATGACAAGAACCATATCATAAGACTGTGAGGGTGATCAGACATATGGAAAGCACATACTGATGCTAAGTTTTCAGCTTACACTCAATAATAAATAGCTGCTATTAGTACAATTAAAGAAACAATAAAAAACTATTAGCATCGGAGTCTGCGCACAGCCAAGGGCTAGACTGCTGCCCAGATTACAATTCGGTTCTCATCACAGCACACATGACGTCGTCCTCTCTCTCAGAATGGCAGTGCTACATGCTAAGAAGGTGGCACCAGCCAGGAAGCTTGAGCTATTAAGAGAGTGTAAAAAAGAATTAATATTTTACTAGTGTTTGAATGTGATTCCAGGACTCTGCTATGGATTCCCATGTCCGTGAGGATCCACAGACTCAGCATCATCCGTGTCTTGCTGTCCGCACAGGGTGTTTTCTGTTACAGCAGGTTTTCATGGGTTTATAGTCAGGGCCCCATAAAAATAACATTTCTAACCCCTTGAAAAATACCCAAGTCAAATCCATGCCCAACACTCTCCACCTTTTCCTAAAGATCTCTCCACTTTTTGATGAAATATTATAAGTGATGCACAGAGCTGAAGGAGGAAGGCATTGGGATGAATTGTGGAGTATGGGTAAGATTTTTTTTTCCCCTGTGGGACCTCTTCTAAATAAGGAACTGTATACCAACAGGCTGGGTTGGTTTTCCTTAAACTCACGATTCCGAGGGTGATCATGAAGAGTCCCAATCAGACTGTTTTCCATGCTGCTCTTTTGTCTTTTCCTGCATTTTATCTCCCATTCCTTCGTCTCCCCTGCACTTTTTCTCTCTTCATCTCCCCCTCTCTCTTTTTTTCAGTGGGGTCTCCTGTAGTACAGGCTGGCTGTAAACTACCATACAGCCAAGGATGACCTTGAACCTCTGATTCTCCTGTTCCCCATCTCCTGAGTGCTGGAATTACAGGTGTGTGCTACCACACTGAGTTTATAGGGTGCTGGGGATCGAAGTCAGGGCTTTGGGCATACTAGGCACACCCTCTCCTAACTGACCCTCATCCTCAGCCTTGGATTTTCTGGTTTGTAGGGCATTCTCATAAGTACCTAGAGACAACAACCCCATGCTAGAGGTAAATGGGAAATACAGGGGAATCGCAATAAAGAGGGGAAAAATAGCTAGTCTTCCTACTACTACATCAGGAAGCTTTAACAACACATTTTCTTGCTGGAATCACTGCTTTTTAGAAGTAGCCGAGAATTTATGGGCGAGTTTTATATGAAATACTTCTCTTCAAGAAAATCATTTAGGTATTTCTTAGGTAATTTGCAACTTTTGATATTTGAAGTATCATAAAATTTCAGTTTTCCTTCTAAACAACCACACAGCCATGTCTTCCCAGACAAAATCAGTATTCCCATGATGGAGACACCACTTCTATTGTCCTCTTAAGGCAAATTTGCAAATAGATTGTTCAGATGACTGATTTGCAGTAAGCATGATGTATCAAACTGGTTTCTAAATACAGCGAAAGGCTAAATCTCCTCCTTCAAATACACACACACACACACACACACACACACAAAAACAATATAAGCGTAACTGATAGTAGAGCTTCCATAATTAAAAGTCAAATTATGGAAGAACAAACAGAAAGAAAAGTAGCTCTGTGGAAGATGCGCTTCCTACAAATGGTTATTTTAAACTTCTGGAAGAAATCCTCCAAAATAGCGCCCTACCAAACGACACCATATATACCAAAGTCCCATAAATTTGGTGAATTTGGTTACCTAAAGAAAAATGGAATAGTGCATAAAACTTTGAAAGTTAAAAAAGGCAAAGCTGTTTAATAAATGCTATGATTTCTATGTCTGGTGGTTATTAAGCATCCAGAAGTGGTGATCAACATTATCCGTATCCATATACTGTTTACATGTGCCCTCTAGGTTTTGAATACAGACGACTCTGTGTCCTTCCTTGGAGGCTTCAGAGGACCGATTTTTGGTAGCATCTCTTTGGCGTACTGTGTCTTATGGAGTCCAGCTTCACGAAGCGCTAGCTCAAATCTAAGTCTAGGATCAGAAGTTATCTGCAGATATAAAATACAATTTAGATAAACAACTCATTTAGTTGAAGTAAATTTTATCAGTATTTTTTATATTTTTCCAAGTCACATATTTTTAGGGTATAGATGGTTAGATGCCAATAAATCTTGCTAGGTCTGTGATTGCAGAGTTTTACTAGAAATGTTCAAACTGTTTTTGAGATCATCACTTCCCAGTGCATTGTTTATTTCCAACATAAGCTACATTCAGTATTATATATTAATCAAATTGAATATATTAAAATTATCAAATGATGAAATAAAAGAACCTTACTTCCAATACTATTATTATTTATTGCTGGTTAGAATCATATAAATAGAGCATTATAAAATAAATCTACTTTAATAAATAAAATTAATCTTCAGAATATATTTTTAAGTAGCTATCATTAAGAAAAACACATTAAGCATACAAGTGTGGTTCTGTATGCAGGTATCTGCACCATCTGGGTGTGCAGTGCTTATAGAGGCTAGAAGAAGGAGTGGTAATTTAGTTAAGGACGGTTGGCCTAATTCTAAAATACAAGCAGAAAGAATGTAGCTTTGGAATTTAAATTTCTTGCAAATGGGAAAACAACCTCACAAATACAGCTCCAGAAATGATAGCACGGGTAACAAACATCTTATGATTTTGATGAACTTGGCAATATTAACTCCTAGAACTAGAGCTGCTCAGAGCTGAGTTGCTAGGTGGATGCTGGGAACCAAACTCAGGCCCTTTGCCAGAGTCCCAAGGGCTCTAAGCGTCTAAACCACCCCTCCATCATTTAGTAATGTGCAACATATACATAAACACATGGCCACTCCCTGAAAAAGAGAATCTGAGGTTGGCCCTTTATTTCAAACAGAACTGGAAAGGCCCACCATCCCATGCTAAGTGGGAGGAGACACACAAATAGCTCAACTTCTGTTCACATTTATACTTGATTGGACCTTAGTCCCATTCCTATGAATCTTAAATATTATCACACTCTCTATCACAATAAGAGGTGGCCACATACAGATTTACACCCAATGAGGTACTTTACCTGAATCTGAAGTCCTACCCCACAAAGAGATAAAGTCATAAACTTTTGAAGATAGTTTCCTCTGTGAGTTCCTGAGAGAGTGGAAGTAAAAAGACATGCGCAGATGACATACGCACTGCGTGGACTATGCTTCATGTGCTAAAACATGGATGTGTGTGGGGTACTGCTTCCAGGAGGATGACCTCAGAAATGGGCAACAGTGAAATTTGACTTAATCTTTAAATCAGAGGGAAGAAGAGAGATCAAATCAGACAGGGAGGCCTCATGTACAAATGCTGAGAGGAAGCAGGTCGATTTGGGGATCAGGGGAGTTGAGGCAGAACACTCTGCACTGAGACACTCTGTCAAGAAAGGACACTCAGACTGGGGTGTGGATTTCAAAGTCTCGACGTCTGTGCTAGCGCCGTGTTGGTTACTTTTGAGTTTAGCATGAAAGTATGGATCTGATCATAAAGTCAGAATAAACTAAGAGAAGGAGGTGGGGTCAGGAGTCCTTTGACTGTCTAGTCATGAAGTAATAAATACCTAAGCATGTCCAGAATTAGATAAAAAACAACTGTTAGAAATACCCTGAAAGGAAGATGAAACAGCAACCAATCAGAAGCAGGGCTAGGTAGTGATGCATTGGAAACAGGGCTGGGTAGTGATGCATTGGAAACAGGGCTGGGTAGTGATGCACTGGAAACAGGGCTGGGTAGTGATGCATTGGAAACAGGGCTGGGCTAGTGATGCATTGGAAACAGGGCTGTGCTAGTGATGCATTGGAAACAGGGCTGGGTAGTGATGCATTGGAAACAGGGCTGGGCTAGTGATGCATTGGAAACAGGGCTGTGCTAGTGATGCATTGGAAACAGGGCTGGGTAGTGATGCATTGGAAACAGGGCTGTGCTCGTGATGCATTGGAAACAGGGCTGGGCTAGTGATGCATTGGAAACAGGGCTGGGTAGTGATGCACTGGAAACAGGGCTGGGGTAGTGATGTGAGTGAGGCCAGGAATAACCCAAAGGTCCTTGTCAGAGAGACAACCCGTTGAGCCTAGGACCCAGGCTTTTCCTCTTCTGTCCCCATTTATCCTCACACATTTTTAAGGAGTCACACTCCCTCTGTGATTTGTATGTCGTTAATTTCCAAATTCTGCCCAGGATTCACCTCGGCCAGGGCTGTGAATCTTTGACATTTTTTATTATTCATTTTTTTTTTTAGTAAAAGCTAAATGAAGAGGGGAGGTTTCTCCTCCCCAGAAGCCAGTAATCAATTTCTCAAAAGCATACTTTACACCTCTTTACCCTAAACATGACATGAACAAAACTGATTCTCCCCAGGCTTTGTTTCCCCTTCTAGATTCTTGCATGGTTAATGGCAGATCTGCAAAATGGCAATAATCCGCTGACTTACTGCTGAATGCAGACAATATTCTAGGCAGCTGATAGTCATTATTTCTAATCCTCACAAGAACTGTGCAAGTAATTATTTTAAAGATGAAGAAAACAAACATAAAGATGCTAATAGCTTAGGCAAGCGCACATAACCAATAAATCGAGGGTGTGGCTTTGCATGCCCAATGCAGGCTCTTCGCAGTGGTCCTTGTCTAGCCTGGAATCATCCTCAGCTGCTCATTACTCTCTCACCAGCACTTCCACGCCCCCATCCCAACACCCATCCACTTTCTATTCAGGATACAAGGATAAATTACAAATGCCGTTATTTAACTTAACCTGCTTTCATATACCCTGCCTACACACAGGATTCAGGTCAGTTGTCTGAGTAGAAAGGTTTTTTGTGTATCGCAGTTGGGCCCTCGCCTGTTTCTATTCTCATGTTTCAGCACTCGGCCTGTGCCCCTGCCCCTGTCTCACAGTGAAGACACCCAAAGAAGCGCCTCCTTTCCCTCTGCCTGGGAAAGCCCTGTAGGTTTGGTCCAGCTCCCTAGGACTTTGCCTTCCTCTGAGTTTAGCCCCTTTAGGGTGCGGCTGCCTCCCCACACTGGCAGCTGGTTCTGGAGAAACACCCACACGTTCTTAGAAGGAATTCTCCCTATGCACACTAACATTTTTTTCCCCCTTAAACTGTAAATCATCTTGGATGAATTTAGGAGCTATTGCCCCAAGTCCTCAAGCTCAGATCTCCATCTCTCTAACCGGCCGGACAGAGTTAACCATTCTCTCCTCACAGGCAGCACAGAGCCTTTCCCTGGTGCGTCACTTCTGTATACCATACTCACCTTCTTGACCTAGACCCGCTATTCCCTTCCTCCAGGAAAGACCAATCTGGCTCTTATGGGATAGAGCCAAGAGCTACACGCTCACACGAAACCAGAATATAGTTACCTATTTCTTAGGTACCTGTTTGATTATTAATGAATAGAGTTTTCATCTTACTGTTCACTACCAAGTATGCAGCAGACAGGAGAAGCACTCTGGATTCATTTGGTTTCTTCAGAGTTGGGCTTTTCTTCTCTCTAGGTCTATAAAATTCAAGACTGCTTTCTTCCTTAATTTTGGCTATATCCATTCATTCGTATGTCCTCTTTCCCAACCTCCTCCTCCTAAAAGTTCTTTCCAATCTTCCTTTTCAGTTCCAGCCACAACTAACACGGAGTCTAAGCTCCCACCAACAACTTTGTGATCCTTCAAGGGCGTCTCCACAGGAGATGTTTTACCCTTAGCTCTAAGAACATGCATAACCCAGGACAGCGGTCTTCAATACTGCTTGTCAGTCTCATCGATTGCTTATTTAATGGGATTTATATCGTGAATTTAGATATAAATTCTTAATACAACAATAGAGAAATCCATGAACTGTAAAACAATATCAATAACCTTTTTATATCAATGACTCTTGAATAATACATTGTAATTTTTCAGTGACAGACATAATTTTTTAAACTGTTTTGGTTTCTGTCACAATTCTTTAATATTTAGATTCACACAGTAATTATGCATTATCATTTGGAAGTAAAAATATGCTAATATGAGGGTGTTGAAATGTAAATCTTGAAAATAATTTGTACCTCAAAGCACCCACTTCAGCAGGTCTTCCGACTCTCGGCGTGGATTGTGCACCAATCCTGCTAATTCCCCTAATTACCTGCTGCTCGTTGTACGTAGTCAGTGTGAAGAGAGGCTTCTGAAGGATGAATTCATCTTCACGTTCAGGGCCCGTCCTAGCTTTCCATGCCATTGTGTCTGACATCATCCTAACTGGATCAGACTGAACGACAACAGCAACCTGAGAGAAGAGAATGCGTCAGCACTCAGAAGAGGGCACAAGCTAGAAGCCTCTGGGTAAGATTACAGGTCTGTTTCATGACCGTTACGGAAGTGTTAGGCGATATAAAATGGCAGAAGAAAGAGCAAAAGAATGCTAAATCCAGGCCAGTCCCAGAGACTTGCAAAAAGTTAAAACACATGTCAAGTGAGCTATTTAACTATCATGGTCATTTGCTAATGATTATGATTGATTGCAGATACAAATTTATTTGTCCCGTAAAAGGCAAATGGAATCTTACAAGGAAAACCTGTATCACTTGAAAATGACAAAAAGTGACAAAAATTCATTTCAGCAGCAATCGATCTTTGGTTATAAGTACCAACACCATGAGGTTCTCAGGTGAGGTCGATTGTGCCCTCATTATCGGAAAAGCTGGGTGAACTTCCTTCCTATTCTGTGAGTAGACTCCCCGGGTCCATTTGAGACAATGAGTTACCTTTCTGCTCTAAAATTCAATTGCAGAGTCATTTTTAACACAAAGTCGTTGTCCTACGTCAAAATAACTGCTCTGACCCAAGTCTTTTTTTTTTTTTAACAGACTTAATTCACTTTTATTTTCCTTGTATAAAAACCCTTATGTGGTGGCCACAGCTGGAGCCTGGGTCCTCTGAACAGAGACTCTGGTGTGGGTTTTCACAAGATGGTCAGTGAATTCCTGATAAGGAGACTTGGTGAAAACAGTCTCTTTCCAGAGGTCGGGGGTCAGGTAGCTGTAGGTCTTAGAGATGGCATCAAAGGTGGCTTTGGCAAAGTTGCCCAGGGTGGCAGTGCAGCCCCTGGCTGATGTGTAGCAGTCATCAATGCCAGCCATCATCAGTAGCTTCTTGGGCACAGGAGCAGAGACTATGCCAGTGCCTCTGGGGGCAGGGATGAGACGCACCAGCACAGAACCACAGCGGCCTGTCACTTTGCAAGGAACAGTGTGGGGCTTGCCAATCTTGTTCCCCCAGTAGCCTCTCCGCACAGGGACAATGGAAAGCTTGGCCAAGATGATGGTCCCTCGGATGGCAGTGGCTACCTCCTTGGAGCACTTGACACCGAGACCTACGTGACCATTGTAGTCCCCAATAGCGACGAAAGCCTTGAACCTGGTCCGCTGGCCTGCCCTCGTCTGCTTCTGCACGGGCATGATCTTCAGAACCTCATCCTTTAGGGAAGCTCCCAGGAAAAAGTCAATAATCTCAGATTCCTTAATGGGCAGGGAGAACAGGTAGATCTCCTCTAGGGACTTGATCTTCATGTCCTTAACCAGGCGGCCCAGCTTGGTGACGGGAATCCACTCCTTGTCTTCAGCTTTACCTCCGCGAGCCCCGCGGCCTCGGCCTCGGCCACGGCCTCGACCACGGCCGCGGCCCCTCAGACCGCTGCCAAATCCTCCGCGGAAGCCGCCACGGCCTCCTAATCCTGGGCCCCCGGGTCCTCGAAGAAGAAGAAGAAGAAGAAGAAGAAGAAGAAGAAGAAGAAGAAGAAGAAGAAGAAGAAGAAGAAGAAGAAGAAGAAGAAGAAGAAGAAGAAGAAGAAGAAGGAGAAGCTGACCCAAGTCTTAATGAAAAGAAGCCACTAATTTTGTCAATCATACGCACCATTATTAACACCAGCTTGTTAATTCTGCGAGTCAAGAATTCGCATAGAGTAAAAGGTATGTTAATGCCATTTCAAAACAGCTGTAGTAAAATGACTGTGGTCAAACATAGTTTAATTATTATAGGCTTGCAAGCTCCAATGCCTTAAACTACAGTTCCAAACACTGACTACAGGTGATGGAAACAGAAAATGTCTTCCTTCAAAGGACTACTGGATAGGAAGAATTCTAGTCACATGGACTCTGTAGTTATCAAAATTATGTTTGTAATAAGAATTTTCAGTAATTGTGACAGTAAGTCTGTCTCCAGGAAGCCATAATGTATAATTATTTGCTAATAATTGAATGATTGGTGTTTTTCAGATTTATCACAAAGAATTTATGTTCTTATACTTTGAATTAGTCTCTGCAGCCCCTTTTATTGAAGAGGAGGATGACGTAAGAGCTATCTCATAGGAGTTCCAGTTGACACCTACTAGTTATGTGACTTTGGAGAAAGCACCTGACTTCTTGGTTTCCTCCTTTACAACATGGGGGCCTTAAATACACTTTCCTCATAGGGATGCTGAGGAGGTTAAGCCCAGCTTCACCAGAGAGCATTGGAACAGGGCTTGGCAGTTAGTAAGTGCTCACAAATTTGATCTCCGACTACCGCAACCAATGGGGCAGGTACTGCCATTATTATCTCCATTTTCCAGATGAGGAAATGAAGCCAAGGCAGAGTAGGTCAGCGACTCAAGTTTTTCCTGCCATTGACTACTTAGTCTGCGGTTGCAGGGCTGAAGGACACCCAAGGTCAAGCGTCATCCATGGGTCTTGTAAGACTTCTCACTTAGAAAGGAAACTACACAGCCACTGCCTGTGTGGGCTAGGCTGTGCAGTCGTCAGTTCAAGAAATCACCTGGGAGTTCAAGTTTAGAAAAATTACGAGAGGAACTCCCTCACATGTCCCAATCTCTTAAATCCTGGCGTTTTCCATGCGCTGTCTACTTTCATCTACTTTCACCTAGTTCTATTAGGCAGGGCCATGGGAGGCTTTTGTTTCTCTACAAAAGGGCTATTTGTAACGTGGTACTTAACAGGCTTGTTGGCTGTGGGATTTTTCCGAGACCAGGTTCCCACTCTGGAGTGGATTATCTTGTTCCACCACATTTTTGAGGACAGTCCTTTGACTGGAAATAGTTTCACTGCTGCAACTAGATACTGTGTGGCTAATGAACTAGAGGAGATAGGGTCGCATTTAGATCTTGGGAGAGCTTTTGAAACGCTGCCGATAAACTTCTTTAAATATATTAAGAAGCTGGACCTGGTTCAACATAAACCTAACTGGCTCCTGGGAATGAAAACCATGTCCTAATTTGGAAAAGTTACATTTTTATATAGCAGATGTCATGAGCTGAGTCCCAGTAATAATATCATTAGCAAACTTAGAAACATTAACAGAGGAAAAGATTTCCAAATCGAAAACACCTGTTTTCGAAGGGCTTCCAGCCGCCTCTCTCGCTCTTCCTCTTCCTGAACTTCTTGAAGGGCCACTTTTTTCCTCTCCATCAAACGCTTCTCCAGTAATTCTTGTCTATATTTAACCCTTTGGGAAAGAGACACAGGACAGGTAGGTGTGCCATAAATAACTCGCACAGTACACAGACAGGAGTGCGACGGGAGACACCTCAGGGGGACATCACCCCCCACGGGTTGATTTCACTTGTTTTGATTTCTCAGATCCAAACAGTGAGAGGCAATTGACCGTGATTCTAGTAACCAGAGAGATACGGGAAAGCTTGGAGTGAAATCCAGCTGGACTCAGTGTTTGCTGCCACCATTTTAAACTCTGACCCGACAGTGAGCCGCTAAAGCTATAGTTACAGCGGCCTGAGCAACAGCCACCCAACCCTGAGTTACGGCACAGCCTTCTGATGACAAGCTCGAACACAACTTAAGGGTTAGAAAGACTGTATTCCTGACTAAATGCGCATACTTTTCGGAAGCAGGGCAAATAAATTACTGTAATAATGTGCTTCAATTATTTAGGTTACTATTACTTAAACTACACTTTATATGTAGTGTGGTTCAGTGAAATGGGCTTGTGGGCATGTTAAAAAAAAAAAAACCTTAAACATTGCACTCTGACATCTGTAGATGGCAGCAAAAACATGACTGTGTCCCTTTACCATTCATTTTCCATCTCCTTCCAAATCATCAGACATTAACACATGGTGCCTTAAGACACAGCTCTGGTCCATGAGCTCGCCCAGCCTCCTCTGCAGCCTGTAGCCTCGATTATTGCTGTCTTCATGTCAGAAGGATTCTATTGACTTACAGAGACGAGATTTGCCATTTCACCAAGCAGCACCTCAGCTCTCAGGAGGATTAGGCTATGCCGGGCCTTCTCTCGGTGACAGCTTAGCTTTAGCTTGCTTTGTCACTTAGGCACAAAGGCCCTTTGCCCCTAGTACACCCGCCGGTATTTTCTACAGCAGCATTTTCGCTACACCTTGAATCTGTAGGTTCTGATATTCGCTGAGTGTGCGTGAGGCAAAGGTCTTGCACAAAGTGCTTTATGATTTCTTTTTTTAGGATCCACAACAATCATAGGTAGGGGTATAATTTTGTACGTATAATTTTGTCTTTTAGAGACACAGAAATGGAGGCTCAGACAAATGGTGCAATTTGTCCAAAGTCTCATGCTGATGAGGCAGCTGAGCAGAGACACAACCCAGAATGACTGTTCTCAGCACCCAAGCCTGGCCTCCAGCCTCCCACCCCTTGCAATTAACCTCTGCGAAGTCCTCCTCCCTAGAGCTCTCTCCTCCTACACCAACTGCCCCTAAACATCCACTGTGCTCGACGGTGCAGGCATGCTGAGAAAAAGTCTTCCTTAGATTCTGATATCTTAACATAGACACAAGGCATGCCTCAGAACCGAACAAGGTCCCCTGGAGGTGGAGAAAAGAGAGACAGCCACGTGTTGAAGGTATTGTTCAGGTTGTAACAAAAGCTTCGTGGAGGAGGAACATTTGAGCTGGGTCTTGAGAATGGAGATTTGGAGAGGCAAGGAGTGTAAGAGCAGAGAGGATGAGACAGCAAGCGTGGGACTGGCGCACAAGAATGGGCACCCTTTTTGTCTTATCCTAGTCCCAGAGAGCATGGGACAGAGTAAGTAAATGGTAGCGGAGAGGGACAGGAAGGCTGTGGTGGACTGAGCCTGGCAGTCATACCGTTTCCTCAGATGTGCCCGGGGAGGGGTGCTCCTGACAGCCTGCTTGCTCAGGCACCGGCAACAACGGAGAAGTGTTACCCATTCTCTCCGTTTTCACTAAGGCATGACACAACACAGCCTCCTTAATGAGGTTCTCCTCAGTTGCACTGAGTACAAGCTAAGTGAACTTCTGTGAAGGTTCAATTAAAAGATACCCTGGGACTTGCCAATTACCATATGCTAATTCTCAGAACCTTGGAAAGTTTCTCTTCCTGTGGGACGTATAGGTTGCTTTGTTTGCAACAAAGTTTTTGTCTGCTTTGTGGGAGAGTAATAGTCGGTCCTGCCAGGGGAGCTTGACTAGCGAGGGAGAAACTGCAAATGAGACTTTGGCATTTATTATTCCTGTATCATGAAGAAGGCTGACTTTTAGTTCATTTTGAGGCTCATTTTTCACTTAATGGATATTTATTGAGCCCAGTGCTAGCCATGAATCAAATATTGCATCAGGCATATGCAGTGACCAGTCAACATGGCTGAGACACATGAGTCTTTGCACAACAGACACTACAATAGAAGTTTCAAGATGAAGCAGATGAGAGATGGGGGCTGGGGGTGCTTTGATGGGACAATGAGGCAGAAGTCATGGGGGAGGGACCTTTGCCAGACTTGGGAGCCGGTCTTAGAAGTATTCTGAACCTGAGACTCAAAAGAGGAATCGCTTCCAGCCAAGAGGGAGAAAATGGAAAGAATGGATTAGGAAGAAGAAAGCCCAGAAATGAAAAGTCATGGCGGGCCTGGGGAACTGAAAAGAGATCCAGTAAGACCCAATACAAATATGGCAAGATGCAGGGTGACAAGGACTCAGGCTGAAGGGGTGAGACAGCCACACTATGGGGCTTTGTGAGGAAGAGAAAGCACTGGTTGCTCTTTCAGAGGTCCTGAGGACAATTCCCAGCAACCACATGGTAGCTCAAAGTTATCTATAATAGGATCTGATGCCCTCTCTGGCATGCAGATATACATGAAGAGTGCTCATATGTTAAAAAAAATGTAAATAAATAAAGTTAAAGTTAAAAAAGAAAATAGATATAGGTTAGGACTGATTTCCAAGAAAACAACACCTAAGAAAGGAACAAAGAAAGCAGAAACTAAGGAAATAAGGAGAATAAAAGGTAAGAAAAATGAGATCTAAAATGTCAAATGCTACAGAAAGATTTATTATAATCCAAAGCTATTACTGCATTGAATTATGGGGAGTCATTGGTGATGCAGGCCAGAGCAGACAGCGGTGAGGTGGCTGAGGACTTAGAGGGAAAGGAAGAAGGAGGGACAGAGGGGCGAAACCTTTTAGTAAGACAGATTCAGGTGGGAGGCGGGCACAGGGAAGGGCTGCAGAAAGCACGAGCTGGCAGGGAGGCCCAGCTCCACAGGGAATGTTCTCAAGGTTATCCAGACAACCTTAACCTTTGAGAAAATCCAAGGGCACGGGCAACGCAGTGATTCTCAGTTTTTACAGGTGCTGCTGCTAAAACGCGAACAATGCTTTGCCTACACAAGGAAGACCCCTGACGCTGCTTGTGCTCTGGATAGCAAAATGCCTTTTCCTGAAGAGAAGTGATGCAGAAAGGAACTCTTGGGAGAAGGCCAAATACTCACATATTCATGGGGCAAGAAAATGGCAACACAGCAAAGCCAATCATTTGGAAAATTTTCCACATAAATACTTTCAGTCATTTGAGGTAGCAGATTTTCTCCAAATTAAACTGTTGCTATGAAAGGCAATGTCAGGAAATGGCTAAACTCAATACTTTCTAAGCTGTGCACTGAATCCCCAAACAGGAGCCTCGCATTCATTCCTCACTCTATTTTATGCTCCCTGCGTCCACAAAGGTGGAACGCGCTGCCTAAGAGGCATTTGCAGCTTCTCTTGGGGGAGGAGAGCCTCATATTGTCCGTTCACAGGCAACAGCTGCTGCCAAGTCAGGCCGGGCATTAACAATAATCGGAGAAGGACTCTAAGCTTCCTGGCCTTCGGGAGGCTTGAGGGATGGTAAGCTTTCCTGTAGAAATAGAGAATCTGCGTGTCATTGAGGAGACTTGAATATCTACTGCACTCTAAGGAGTGAGTGGACCTCAAGGTGTAGCAACACCTGGTGCCAGTGAGCCCCCAGGAAGATCAAGGCAGACTTATATAGGAAAATCTAGGTCTTCCTCCTATCTGGAATCATGAGCTAACTGCAGTCTAAACGGTTATGGCAAACAAGTGGGGGAAGACTTTGCCAAGAAGGGCACATGGGAGCAAGCACTTCAACTAAGAAACAAGAATATTCTCATAGGACAACATAAGCAGTAGGTAAAATAGAGCAAAGAAATGGAGTTTCAGTTAGGGTACAGTAGCCAACACTGAACTTCCCACTCCCGTGTACTGGGGACATGATTTGCTCTGCTGAAGTCAACTCTGTAAACAAACTTCCTTCATAGAGGTGAAACCATGAACCTGAACACTCAACAGGACAGTGTTAAACAGGTACCTGCTGAGGTCTCCCTGCCAGAGGGACCGCAGCAGCAGTGTCATGGGGAACAGGGTTTTGCCTGTCGGGAAATCCATTCTGGATTTGAACCTCACTCAGAAAGAAGATGATTCTGTCCACCAAATGGAGGAGAGCCTCCCATTAGCTGTTGGGTGCCCAGGGAACAGTGTGTAAATCGAAACAGAGGAGGTGAGCCAGGAGCCATCATCACCTTCTGGATTGGAGTCTGAACAGAGCAAACACTGGAACCCCGGATCACACCGCCATGCTTCATTCCTCCAGCCCCATGGAAGGGGAAATTGGCTCCACTCAGCTCCGGGAAGAGCATCCGCAGAGACAGATCCCCGCAAATAGTTCTGTGAGTCCTGACTTGAGGCGGTGACAGATGGTACAGATGTGCATGAGGTAAGAGCAAAGAGGACTCAGAGCGTCTCTGCAGAACCAACAAGAATAGATGAACCAGGCCAGCCCCAGACAGAGCCCATACTTCCAGCTTGTTCATTTGTGGGACTCCTGGAACCCAGTTTCTGCCTCAATATCAATGTAATTCATCAACATTGCTATCTCCCCACCTTCTTGGTGCCAAACACTACTTCAGGTGCTTGGGGTACAGCAGTAGAGAAAACGAAAAAGAAACGTTCCCACACTATGATGTTTTACATGACTTGCGGTTTGCTTTGTTTACAGATGACTAAGTCCACACTCTGGTGTTGACGGAGGCTGCTTGTTTGCTCCTCAGCTGTTAAGACCTGAAATAATTTCCCAGAAACTATATTATTTGCAACACTGTTTGGCCAATAGCTTAAGAGTATTTCTGGCTAACTCTTACATCTTAAATTAAACCAATTTCTATTA